TCGGAGCTTGATCTTGAAAGAGGATTTAACGAAGAACGAAGAGAGCTTTCTTGATCCTTCGGAATTCTTGGGAATTTGGATGGTTGGAAGCTTTGGAGTTTCAAAGCTTCAAGGATTTAAGGAATTCTCTTCTAATTTTGGAGTAGAGAAATGTATTTGTGAATTCCTTGATGCTTGATACCTTGATGGAGAAGCCTATTTATAGGCTTTGAGAATGAATCACCACCACAAAAATATTTTTTTTCCTTTCCAAGCATCATTACCTAATTTTCCCACTTAATGCAATATTGAAATTGAAGTGGTGTAACTTATGGCCTAATTTCCCACTTAATACCATTTTAAACTTGAAGTGGTGTAACTTATGGCCTAATTTCCCACTTAACACCATTTTCAACTTGAAATGTGTATGCTTTGTCATTGCCCAAATGAGAAAAACTTGCTTTGATCCGTAATGGATTGAAGTGTGCTTGCCTTGTCATTGCCCAACATGAGAAGAAAAACTTGTTTTGATCCTCAATGGATTGAAATGTACTTGCCTTGTCATTGCCCAAAATGAGAAGAAAAACTTGTTTAATCCTTCAAGGGTATTTCTTCCTATTTTGTTGAGTCACACGCCATGTGTACAATTTGTACAACACATGGCGTATGCCATGTATGCCTTGACACGTCAAAACTTTAATGCATTGGTGAACATTTGTTTTACTGAAATTTCGATGTCTACACTAACTCTCGGTTGGAGACGGTAAAAAATATGTGTCACATCCCGGTCCGGGCAAGTCCACTTCCCAGGCCTGACTCGACCAAAGCACGATATTGTCCGCTTTGAGCTCCCAGCACACCCTCACGGTTTTGTTTCTAGGAACTTCCCAGTGGGTCACCCATCATGGGAGTGCTCTCGTGTGCTACTCGCTTAACTTCAGAGTTCCAACGGAACCCGAAGCCAATGAGCTCTCAAAAGGCCTCGTGCTAGGTAGAGATGGAAATATACATATAAAGATCATTTCCCTTGGGTGATGTGGGATGTCACAATCCACCCCTCTTAAGGGCCCGACGTCCTTGTCGGCACACCACGACCAGGGTTAGGCTCTAATACCAAATTGTTACATCCCGGCCCAGGCGGGACCACTTCCCGAGCCCGACTTCACCATAGCACGATATTATCTACTTTTGGCCCCCAGCACACCCTCACGGTTTTATTTCTGGGAACTCACACGAGAACTTTCCAGTGGGTCACTCATCATGGGAATGCTCTCGTGCGTTACTCGCTTAACTTCGGAATTCCAACGGAAGCCGAAGCCAGTGAGCTCCTAAAAGGCCTCGTGCTAGATAGAGATGGAAATATACATATAATGATCACTCCCCTGGGCGATGTGGGATGTCACAATATGACCCTGCACTGTTCATTAAAATATTAATTTCTTGGAGGATCAGATGGTTAAAACGAGCCATCTAGCCCTCATTCAGTTGGAGATGATCTAACACAACTGAGCTTTGAAATGCTCAAGCTTGGTTAAGGGGACCGTATTAAAGGAGAGCACACAATGGTCACCCAATATGTGTCCTGAGCTTTGAACATAAAATTTTAGGATGATCTCATCCTTAGTTGTCGAATTTATAGGAGGTTTTGATCTAATAAGTCAATTTAATTTGATGATAAAATGAGGAATATGATGGATGGAAACATCAGGACCTAAAATTTGGGCAAACAAAGTCACATGCTAAAGCTTTGTTGTTATTGGTTTTTATTTTTTATTTTTATTTTTTGTGTATTTCACTTGAGGTATAATTGTATTTCGATATTAGGATTAACTATATAGTTCAACATTTTAGGGCTCGTTTGGATGTGCTTTTAAAATAACTAAAAACGCTTTTAGAGAAAATATTTTTGAGTTCCAAAATCACTTAAAGTGCTTTCTACAAGAAGCACCAATTTTGTACTTCTTCCAGGAAGCACTTTAAGATTTTTTTTTTTTCAGGATTTACTTGCATTTTTACTAAGGATTGGTTCTAAAAACATTTTTACTAAAAACGCTTTCAGTCATTTTAAAATCACATCCAAACAAGCTCTTATTCAAAGGAAGAGGCAAACGAAACATTAACTTTTAGCAAGTATTATTGACCTATAAAAATAAAGAGTGCTGATAAACCCACCCCATTGTCTTATTTTTCCACCCACATTTTAATATAAATTTTAATGTCAATTTTACCCTCTTGTAAAATGACATGTAAGGACCAAAACAAAAATGTGATGCAGATTGCCAATGTCCTTATGCTCACTACACATTGCAGGATTGCCCATTTCCTTATGCCCGTTCACCATCTCTATAATAGAAAAAAAATTCTTATCTCTTTCAATTTAATTATTGTGCATTTCTAGAACGAAATCTCATCTCTTGTAAACAAGTATTTCTACTTCCATTTTTTCTTTCTCCAAAATCCTAATTCCAAGGATCTAATCAAATATGAACCAACCGATCACATATCACCATCATTGCTTCATAACATCCATAACTTTAAACTCTCTGTCCTTCCAGCCCTTTCTTTGGTTCTACTCCCAACCTAAACCTCACCTCCCTTCTCTCTCATTTCCCTTCTTTCTAAAACTTTAAATACATAACCCACCCATTGAATTCCATTGCAATCTGCAATACTTGAAATTCATAGGAAAAAGTATAATATCTAGACTATGCAAGGAACAAGAAGATGGGTGGTGAGGCAATTTTGCTGTCATGGTGGCGTTCCGATGGTTGGGGGACCTGGGTTGGGTGTTAGGAGTTGGTGCGGCACTCCAGCGGAGTAGGGGTGTCGAGGGCTAAAATCACATTAGGGTATTTTAGGAATGATGGTGGGTGACAAAAGAGTGTTTTCTTCTTTTAACAGTTTTGGTGGGTGAAAAAATAAAATGGGATGGGAAAATAAGACAATGGGGCGGGCGTGATACCACTCAAAATAAAATATTCATTGACATATGACGAAATGTGAAGTTACTTAAAACCCCTAAACAAATTTGCTATTCTCTATTTAATTCACTTTTTTATTTCAAACAAATGATGTTATGTACACTAAAGGAGATGGGTGAGCTTAGCCTCATAATGGTTAACTATAATATGGTTCAAATTCGTCTTTGACGAGAACCGAACCTGAAACTTTTCATGTACAAGTAAAAAGAAATATCACTAAACTGTAGTACTAAGTGACCTCTCTTTAATTCAGTTGGATTTAACACACACACACACATACAAAAACAAAAACAAAAAAAAAAATTACTTGGACTAGCTGTGAGAAAATGAAAGCCCAGTTGGTAGTCCTCTTAAGTTTTAAGAAATCCTCCTTAGGAAAGTTATTGGCATCAATATAATTAATCAAATGAGCACTAAATACCAAAGGGTGTTTTCAAAACTTACATCATCACCTGTCTTAATTCTCTATTTCATACTTTTGCGTAACAAATCAGTTTCATACAAAATTATTTGTAAGTGTAAGATCAGTCAAACCTCATGTAGTTTAGTATTCAAAATAGAACTCCCTTACAAGTATTTTGCCTCGTAGATTTTTGCACAAAGACATGTATCCTTAACATGAATTCTCCATCAAACTTTAACCAATAAAGCTTGATTTATCTCTGTTGTTTCTTCAATCACACACCTCCACCGCACATAGATCTTAATAAACAATAAAATCATATATGCCATCACTACCTCATCGCTCCACCACTACCACAACATTCTCCACTGTCTCACCATCATCACCACCACAGCCAACATCTTTGACACCACCACCATTGCAACCACTGCCATATCCTCTATTGTCATCACTCTCACCACCATGTCCACCACTAATGTCTCACCATCGCTACAACCCAAATCATTGCCGCCATGTCACCATGACCATCACCACCTGCACCTTCGCCGCCACTACTGCTACCACCACCACCACCATATTATCCACCTCATCACCCCTGTCACCATGGTCATCACCACCTCCACCATCGCACTGTTGCCACTACCACCACCTCCACTATCTCCACCCATTACCCTCAGTACTACCAACACTCCAACCATCATTGCTACCAACACCATCTCTACCCACCACCACCATCTCCATCACCATTACTACCAAACATGAACTTATACTAATTTTTTGAACATGTTACATATTGGTACCAGACTCGCGCTTTTTCAATGTTTGATCATTCTCAATAATCATGCTCATATTAAACAACCAAACTCATTTTCAAATCATAAAAATGCAAAATCATATTTGTTTTCGTTTCACAAAACATTTCTTCAAAAATCATGTTACGAAATATTACCGAACGGGCCCTTATTTTTAGTGTGTTCTCAGTTTTCACTTTTTTATATTATGTACGACTTGGAAAACGAAAGTTTTCTTGGGGGTAAAATTGCAAATTTAAGATGGCGATGGGACGAAGTGTTTGTACCATTTTCGGTCAATTTTTTGGAGTTAAGATAGTTAGAATGCTACAAGAGGCTGATCTATCAGATTTCGAGACCGGAGTGCGATGTATGTTTTGTGACATACAAGCTGAAAATTGTAATATGAAATTAAACATGTTTTTAATTTTCAAAAACAAGTGAAAACTAAAAGCTAAATGTTTATCGAACGCTCTCTAAACTACTCTAATATACAAGAAGTGGGGATCAAATTGGGTGTAGGAACATATGCACACTATTCTTACTAACTCCCCTACATATCCCCATGAGATCATTTGAATGTTTTTTTTTTAAATTGCTTCTAGCTCAATTGGTTAGAGCATTTGCTCTTGCACTCGGGATCTCACTCTCCATAATTTAGATGAGTTTAACGTAAATGATCATATTGTTTGTCAAAAGAATTCTATAGCAAAACTTTGGGTTCAAAAGAAAGGCCCAATCTGTAAACCCTGTTTGGGTAAATTTGGGCCGAGATCAGCAGGAAAACTAAAGCCCTGCTGCCTTATGGTTTGCTAAGAAGGTGAAACGTTGCCGTTTTGGCGGGAAGGAACATAACCGCAAACACCTCCCCCAAAATCTGACCTCTCAATTCAATTTTTCCGGTTGGGGCTAGGGTTTTGATTCTTCATCTTCGACGGTACAAATTCGAATCAATTTTTTTGAAGTTTGAGCTTCCAGACCAGCGAACATGGCGACTGCTTCAGGTTCGTTCATCTTCTCCATTGTTTGTCCCCAATCTATCGTCAATTTTACACTTTTTTACTTCAAATTTAATCCATTGTTTGAATGTGACATTCTTTGGTGCTGTTTTTGTTGAAATTGATCGGTTTAAGATTTACGAATCGTATCATTACGTAATTTCAATCGGCGATTTAGGGTTTTGAGCTCGGTTGGTCCAAATTAGATTCGTATATAGATACCTGGGTTGGAATTACGCTGTAAAAAGTTGAAATTTATTGGGTTTTACCAGTCATCACATTCGATTCGGTTGAATATATGAATTGGTGAAACAAACATATATATTCGAAAGTAGGAATTACATCGTAGATGAATGCTGTGCTACTAAATTTTATACCTTTTTTGTGGAAGGTTGATTTTTCCAGTGTTTAAGTTACTATGGTGCTGTCTGGTTTTTGGCAAAACTGGTAGATTTCAGAGTTTTCCGGGTTCTCCTTTGCTACTCTGTATATTGATTTATCTCATGTGGTGGTCTTGTAGGGTCATTCAAATCTAGGGAAGACCATCGTAAGCAAATGGAATTGGAAGAAGCGCGTAAAGCTGGGCTTGCGCCAGCTGAACTGGACGAGGATGGAAAGGAGATTAATCCTCATATTCCCCAATATATGTCATCTGCGCCTTGGTATCTCAAACACGAGAGGCCTGTAAGTTGTTCGTTTTCTTTCTAATAAGTTAATAGTTTTCATAAACGCACCCTTGTGGTATAAGTTCTGAATATTGATACATTTTTTTCCCCAAATCAGAGCTTGAAACATCAAAGGAAATGGAAATCAGATCCAAATTACACAACATCATGGTATGACAGAGGTGCAAAGATATTCCAGGCTGATAAATATAGGAAGGGTGCATGTGAGAAGTAAGTCTCTCTATCTCTCTCTCTCTCTCTCTCTCTCTCTCTCTCTCTCTCTGTGTTTCTTGCAAACCGAATTGTAAACAACTTCATGGATTTAAGGCCCTTACCGAACCTTTTTGGTCCATCTTGACAGGCTTAGAAATTCATAAATGTCATTCAATTTTAAATTTTCAATGCATATGTACTTGATTAATTGCACTTTGTGGTAAGTCGTGTTGGGTCTTTCCCTTACCTGTCAAAAGTAAGGCTTTCTTTCCCCTTTTATTATATCTCAAGGCCTAGAGATTAATGAATGTCTATTCTTACAGCTGTGGTGCCAGTACACACGACTCAAAGTCATGCATGGATAGGCCCAGGAAAGTGGGAGCAAAGTGGACAAACACGCACATTGCTCCTGATGAAAAGATAGAGACTTTTGAGCTTGACTATGATGGAAAACGGGACCGCTGGAATGGATATGATGCAACGAGCTATGCTTTGGTTGTTGAAAGATATGAATCAAGAGATGAAGCTCGAAAGAAATTCTTAAAGGAACAGCAACTAAAGAAGTTAGAGGAGAAAAATAATAACCCAAATGGTGAGGATAAGGTTAGTGATGTGGATGAAGATGAGGATGAGGATGAGGATGAGGATGATTTGAGGGTAGATGAAGCCAAGGTTGATGAAAGCAAACAAATGGACTTTGCAAAGGTTGAGAAGCGTGTACGTACAACTGGTGGTGGAAGCACAGGAACTGTCAGGTAAGGGTTTTAAACCGATTTTTTTAAATTTTCATCTTGTCTTGAAGGGGCGTTATTGTCTCAATACCGATTTTTTATTTATTTATTTTTTTTTTTTTTTTCACTTGTGCGTTGGTCTCTATATATGAGTCCTTACTGAGATCTTTTTGTTTTCAGGAATTTGCGTATTCGCGAGGATACTGCAAAATATCTCTTAAACCTTGATGTCAACTCTGCACATTATGACCCCAAAACCCGATCCATGCGTGAAGACCCTCTTCCAGATGCTGATCCGAATGAGAAGTTTTACGGGGGTGATAATCGATATAGAAATAGTGGTCAAGCCATGGAGTTCAAGGAGCTCAATATCCATGCTTGGGAAGCATTTGAGAAGGGACAAGATATCCACATGCAAGCGGCGCCATCCCAAGCTGAGTTGCTGTATAAGAATTATCAGGTGATCAAGGATAATTTGAAGTCAAAAACAAAGGACACTGTTCTGGAGAAGTATGGCAATGCAGCTAATGAAGAAGAATTTCCTAGGGAGCTTCTACTGGGACAAAGTGAAAGAGAAGTTGAATATGATCGCGCTGGGAGAATCATAAAGGGCCAGGTAAACTATTTGCATCTACCATTTCTCTTCATCTTTTTATTTCAGAACTCAAAACTTTTTATTTGCCTCAGTATGGAACATAAGGCCTTAATCAGCATGTCAAAGTCTCAATTATATAGACAGCTGATGATTATACTTTGCACAAATACAGGATATAGCACTTCCCAGAAGCAAGTATGAAGAAGATGTCTATGTCAATAACCACACCACTGTATGGGGTTCGTGGTGGAAGGATCATCAATGGGGCTACAGGTGTTGTAAGCAGGTTACTCGTAATAGCTATTGCACAGGCACTGCTGGAATTGAGGCTGCTGAGGCTGCAACTGATCTTATGAAGGCTAACATTGCTCGCAAAGAGGCCAATGGTGGTTAGTCTACCGTCTTTTTCCCCCTTCTTTGTTTTAGATAGATATAATCTTTTATGTAAATATGTCATGCTTAAACCATTCTCCATTAGCCCTTTGATTTGGTTGTTTTATTGACATGTTGTGTTCCCAACCTGGAAACAGATATGCCTGCACCAGTGGAGGAGAAAAGACCCGCTACTTGGGGAACTGATATACCAGATGATTTGGTTTTAGATGAGAAATTACTTGCTGAAGCTCTTAAAAAGGTGAGAGTTTGTCAACTTATGCGAATTGAATTCTTGAGTTGAAAATTGACGTGTATGTTGTGTTTGTTGTTTGACTAGTTAACTAAATCTCATACAATTTTGACTTCAACAGGAGGATGGAAGAAAGAGAGAAGAGAGAGATGAGAGGAAGCGTAAATACAATGTTAAATGGAATGATGATGTTACTGCAGAGGACATGGAGGCTTATAGGATGAAGAAAGTCCACCATGATGATCCAATGAAGGACTTTCTCAACTAAGTTGAGACATGGCACGTACTTCTGATGGAGCCCTTTCCTCAAAACACTTTCGAGGCTGTCAACGTGATGCACTGGCGTGGCTGTTATACCGCAGTTCTGCAAGCCTATTTCTTGAATTTGTTCAGTTGTGGCAGAACACAGCTGAGTTTGACCCTCCGTCTTTAATTTCTGACCTATCGAGTGTGATTGCTGTAAGCTATTACATGAGCTACCCTGTGGTTGAGCCATGAGGTTGAAGGGGGCCGGAATGCCGATAAGCGGTTACCCGTTTAAATTGTCGTTTACCTTGTACTCGAGTGTCATGTGGAATTTACCTATTATGTTGTTCTTGTTCTGATGCTCATCAATTAAGGCTGGTTTGGGTTGGTTCAAATTGTTTTAAAATCACCTTCTGAAGAAAATTGGAGCCTTGATTGTCTTTAGTAAATGAAAAAAAAAAAAAAAAAAAGTGTTCTTTTAGCAGAAGCAGTTATACACATTCCTCTAAAATAAAAATGACATGTTATTTTCTTATTGGAGGCATGTGAACAGTACCTATTGATGGAAACTTTGATATTGACAATCGTATCCCATCTATAACATCTCTGTTTTTTTCTTTTTTTGGCTAGAAGCACTTTTATCGTTATTGTTTACTAAACACTTCTTTTTTTACAGCTGTTTATTCTTACAGCACACTAAAAAAATAAAAAAATGCATGCCAACTCCAAACAAGCCATTAATAAATTGTTCAAAGAAAAAATGCACTGATGTATTGTGTTAGTTCCACATTAATGTATCAACTCGGAAAAATTACATGTTTCCAACTTCAAATGATCAGGCATTTAAAAAAAAAAAAAAAACTTCAAAATGATTAGAGTTTAGTCTAGTAGGCTAGATTATTAAGTTCCAATTCCATCATTGGCACCCAAAATTCAAATCTTACCTCCTTAGTTTAGATTAATTTAGAATAGACTATCGGTGGTATGGGAATTTATGGTGACCATCCTATATCTTCCATAGAATATTATAATAAAATTTAAAATATTAAGTTCATTTTTTCTGGGGACAAACGATAGTTTTAGCGGGTTAATAGCTAGTTGTTCGAAGGGAGGAAAATCAACGGGAATTGAACTTGCACATATAACGCATAGGCATAATTATTTTCTGTCATTACGATAAAATGTCATCTTCATACAAATACTAAGATTCTTGCATACAAATAAATATGTCTTTCTATATTTTTCATCACACAATTGAATTCTTGCATACAATCATATATAAACTCTGCTCTTCCACAAGCAAGATGGAAATCTATCCCTTATTTGTCTCAGCACGGCCAATAACTTCCCCCATCCAAGTCATGCTTGTGGAAAAGCTGCAAAAGCTTCATCCTGTTCTTCCTCTTCTACCCACTCGTGTTTTTTTTTTTTTCCCTCATTGAAGCCAATAAATATAACAGAAATTCATGCGAAACAAATTATTTTCAGAATAATTAATCACACTTAATTTACAAATTTACATCATGTATATATTTCTTAATCTAATTAAACAAGAAAAGCTTATGCTACAAATGATCACGTGCCAACTTCTCCTGAACCGCCATGTCCCTTCTAAACTTGGCTATGAACTCCTCAGCTCTTTCATCAATCCCATGCATCATTGGGGAAGCAAATCCCAATGACTCCCACATATCATCCGCCGTCGCAGAACATCCTCTCTCAGCCCCACTTTCAGCACCCGCGGCGGCAGTGGTAGCTTGCTTGCACTTCGCTACCGGAGGCTCAGAACTCCTCACCAGCTCAGTCACAGCAGGCTCTTTAAAAAGCTTGTCAACGTAGACATGCGCATCACTACCACGGTTCTGAAGAAGCTGGCGGTGCTTGTAGCGACGCCCCTTGCGTTTAAAACGCACCTGGAGAAACTTGTAGGATTTCAGTCCAACAGAAGAAAAAGCAAAAGCAGAAGCAGAAGATGAAGCGGCAGCAGTAATGGCCTTGACTCGATTTTTTCCGGGTTTCGCGATGCCTTTAGGCTTTTGGAGTTTTCTCTGTAGTTTGGAAGTGAAGCTCTTCCAGGCCCTTCTGGCTGGTGGAAGCCTCAATCTCAAGCAAGACATGGATAACTAGGGTTTGCATAGAGTGAGTGGATGATGGCTTTTTTAAAAGCTGCTAGAGAGATTCTTTCAGCTTTTGGATTGTGGATTCGTTTTTGTGCAGTTTTATACTATCGGATTTGGACTAATTAAAGGTAGCTTACTTCTTACTCTACGCGTTTGACATGAAAGAAAAATCCATTATTCTAAAAATCCTTGCCTAGCATTGTCTAAGCTCTGCCTAGACGTTAGGCGGTTAGCAATCGTCCCGATTAATACCTAAACATTTGAAAATTAAGAAAGGGCGCCTAGACCTCCTGAGATGCCCGCCTAGCCAGCCCAGACCCGCCAAGGTTGTGACTCACTTAGACAGAAAATAGATAACTATCATTTTGCATTTTATTTTTTCAATAAATTGTAAGGGACTTGTTGAATACTTAAAGGAACACACATTATATACTTGTTCTCCATGTTGTCATTATGTTTCAATAGGTTATAATATATATGGCATTCCATTTTTTAATTTATGATGAAATCATATATATTTTAAGTATAAACAGACATTTATTTATACAAAATATAATAGATTTAATTAAATCCTCTAAGTCTGCCTAGGCGCCCGCCTAAATCCCACCTAACCTCCTAGGCGTTAAGCTTCAGCCCACCATTCGATTAGCGCCTAACGTCTTTTAGAATCTTATAAAAATCTAAGTATATGGGTAGTCTTTGTGTGTGGGGGGGGTGGGGTGGGGTGGAAGCAGTTTGGACGCTTCATCTTATCCATGTTGGACGTTGAAAAGTTTAATTACTTAAAGCCCAAGATCATTCTACAAGGATTGGAATGAGCTTAACCTAAACTTATAAGTGAACATTATGAGTTGAATCGCAATCAATTTCAATTTATGGCATGTTTACTTATCAGGAATGAAAACTACAATTACTTGACATTGCATTCGTTACTAACTATTTGGACAATAATTTTCCGCATTCATTCTAGATTTCCTTAAGGACATATTTTTGTCATACATTCACAGCATGCGCTAACACGCACGGAATAAAAACTTTCATTAAGTTCCCAATTCATTGTTTTTGGGATAATCAATTCATTATTCCAAGTAAATATACGATCAAATTGAGTTTTTCTGTTTTCAGTTCTCTTTTATACAATGATATTCAACTTTAAAGATTTATTTAGCCACATAAGTGCCCGAGTTTGCTTCGTAACCCCGAAGGGGAATAGATAAGTGAATTTGCTGCTAACTAGGCAGAGGAACCATCATGAAATTGGGGTATATACATGGGCCTTTCTATAGCTTGGGATAAGGGATGCGGAGATGTGATTCTTGTGTTGTTATTTTAATCCAACAATCTATTTTGGTTTAGCACCCGCTCTACAATCTCATTAAAGATCGTAAAAAAGTTATCGTAAGAAATTAGAGATGCCAAAGTCATTCATATTTATAGAGAAAAGAATGCATCAGCTTATCACCTCCACCTACCACTGCTGCTAATTTTCTAGTTTCTGATATTATTGGCAGGGCCCTTCCTAGGGTTGTTCTTGCCAAGCTTTTTTGTTTGCTTGCTTGGCTACGCCCTCCTCTGTACGATTAAAAAAAAAAAAGAAGATATTCTACTTGAGTGCATTTTTGCTCACCACCATTTAGTGTGGTATATGTTCAACATCCTATTTATCAACGTTAGATAAGTTTGAATTTTGAGTGGTGAGCAAAAATACTCCAGATTCTACTTTAAAGGGTAATTTTCAACTAAACTATACTGAATCAACCATAACAATTAAATATCAAACTCGTTATTCTAATTTTTCTAGTGCTAGTGCGTTGTGAACTTTGATGGATTTTTTAAACCAACCTAGGCCTCATCTAAGTTTTATAATTATGTCCTCACATGAAATATCATTATATGATTGATGTGGATGCCTTCATGTTCCTTTCTGTTGTCTCTTCTCTCAACTTGGGTAATTGCAATCACGTAAAGCAAGTGCAGTATTACAACAGATGCATCTACTTTTCTTTCTTTTCTGCAACTTGCGAAAATATTCGAATTTCCAAGGTCGCGTAGAATAAAAAGATGGCACCAAAAAAACAAAGGGGAAACAACTTCCTTCAGATAATATATGATTGTTCTTAATTAAGCAACTATATTTATCTACTACAAAACTCCCTGGAAGTGAATAACAAAACCCAGGCAAGTTCGGACGCGGGAAAAACGAAACACCATTTCTATTTCGAGCAATAAAAATGCTACAACATCCATCAAGACTCGCGATTTATACAGAGAACTAAATGAGGGCTTGAACTCCGAACTGCTGCATCTCTCTAACTTTCCAAATTGGATACATAGCACCTTCACTCAGTTCTTCTAAATCTACCTGTTGCATCGCCCATGCGTAATACACCGTGTGGATTGTGTCCTGATGAATCAATAGGATTTGACAAAACTTATAAGAACTTTGATTAGAAATATAATGAAGTCTCGTACATGTTTTCGTAGAGAATTGTGGTTCAAATGGGGAATAACACATTTGATATAACGTGCAGAGGGGTGTGTGTGTGTTTTACCTTGCCACCTTCTGTTACATCACCATTTCTATCTCGTACACAGTACACTTGCTGCGTTTGGAACTGTTAAATTCACCAAATATGGATGTCACTATCAACTTCTGCTAAACAAATCAAACATAGAAAACATAATCGAAAATGCCTACCATTACAATAATAATGGGAGAATGTCCCATCATTTTGGTCTCTTTTATTTCCGCCTCCGAAATATGTAGAATCTGCACCACCAGAAAATCATGAATTAGTTACGTGGCAACTAGCATATCCCTGCCACATACACAGCACAAGCCCTGAAGAAGTTTCCATCACTCGGTATATAAGTAAAATTTAGGCTACAAATGACTTTGTCACCCAACTACCGGTAATTACACTGCAGCATACAAAAGCCTCTGTTCGTTAACCTAAATTCTCAAAGTAGTCTTAGACTCAAAGATCGATACTGTATGATCAAAAGTAGTAGACAAAAAGAAGCACGTGTTTTTAATTAGCATTTCTTCAGTATAGAATATTAGCATGGTAACACTGATATATTTTAGGAAGAGGCACACTGTCTACCTTGTGATCGAAAAAGATGCCATGGCTTTTAAAACCATCATGCTCGGCTTTACACCGCTCAATCACCTCCCTACTACAATACTTCTTCAATGTCTCAAGATCCCCCTACATATCAAATGCCCTTGTTATTCCAAAAAGATGAGAAACTATAATGGTACTCAGGCATCTTGGAATGATGATAAGTTGACAGCAAAGCATGAACAAGAAAAACAAAGATGAGAGACGAGGAGGGAGAAGGAGGGAGAAAAAGAGACGAATAGGTAACACGGTTCCAGCACTAACCTTGATGTAAGCATTAAGCACGGGTTTAACAGCATCCTGAACTTCTGCCAAAAAGTCTGGTAAAGAGAAGGATCTACCATCCAGAGTTTACAATTAGAAAAAGAAATTAATAGTCATCCAAATACAAAATAAGTATGACAAGAAGCAGCGGCAAATGAAAAATATGATCATACGGATCTCTGCGACGTATCTCCTTGATTGATGCAGCAGTGTCTGTTTCTTGAAAAATAGTTTCGTTTAAACTGGCAAAGGAAGAAGGGTCAATTCAGGACTCAAATATTTTACAATTGACTCCACCACTCATATATTTACAAGTAACTGTTTTAGGGAAAAACTCTCATTCTGTGGGGATAGACGGCAAAGCAAAGTCTGTTACAAAAAAGAAAAAAAGAAAAAAAGAAAAAAAGGATAATGAACACTAATGAACAAACAAGAAGTAAAGAAAGTTTAGCAGCATACTCCTGAATTTTGTGAACAATTGGGCTATCGCTTGTATCCCAATGTTCCCGTATGTCCTCAGCAATCTGCCAATTTCAACAAAGACATACAGCAACACTAAGAGATTTAGTACAAATAAAAAGGCTGTCAAACATAAGTACAACAGAAATTTACTCAGTAGATTTTTATACAAATGACAACATCCTTTGCAATGTTGTAACATTAAAAAAAGAAGCAAAACAAAAGACAGCAGAAATGTTCTACGTCCATAAACATTAAGTATAAACTAGAATTTTAACATAACAGAGACAACAATTGAATTGTAACATACCTCCTGGGTTTTGTTTGTAACTGGTTTACGTATTTCATCAAGACGCTTGAATATAGGATAACCTTGCATCTAGGTAAGAGAGTAAAAACAAAAAAATCAAATAATTTATAGAGGAAAGGCAACTAGATATTACTTACTGGTAATATTTAACAAGCGGATAAAAAGTTAACCTTCATTCTGAAAGCCTCCCACTTTTTACTCCAGCGAGATCGGGGTACAGCAACAATGTCCGTTCTTGAACTAGTTTCAACTTTTGGGGTGGAAGAAGGATCAAACTCCAGGTGCTTTCTCCTAGTTGTAGTACCACTTAACTCATCCCTTACAATGTCATATCCCTTTCTAGCCAAGTCCGTAATCTTTGCTTCCTTAACTCGAGAGAAGGCAGAGGAAATATACGAGGAAGAAACACTAGACCTAAATTTTCCAAAAAATGTTTGTTCAGTGTTACTAGACCCTGAATGCGGGTTTTTATGTTCCCCAGATTGCTGATTATTATGTTCCCCAGATGAGCCCTTCGTTCCATCATCAGCAACATGCTCAGATTTAGTACCAGAAGGTCCTGAGGCCTCTTCTTTCCCAATTCCAAAAGTTCCTTTGACCTACATAGAACAACAGAGAATTAGAAAAACAATAAAGTTCAGCAGATCAAAGCATGTACAAGTACAGATCCAAGAGACGAAAATTATAGCAGCAAGCAGACCTCCTCTGTGGCAGCTGAGATCTTCTCCTTTACATTGACAGAAACCTGCAAACATAAATTCAATGAAAAGTTGACAACATGTTTGTCAAAACAAATGCAAGTTTCTTACAGTAATAATCAACAAAAACTTGATATACACCACAAACAACATAATGGGAGGGGGTGGATATCTTGCACAAATTCAGCACCATCGAGTACACTAGATATTGAAGCGCTAAAGATTTTAATATATTTGAAATGATACCTTCTTTGCCGTTGCTTCCGCCTCTGTCCACGCACCATCCACCCGCTTGTATAGCTGCTCACTTGTCTGCTTCGTTCTGCATTCGCCATTTCACCATCTCAGAGCTTCCACTTGGAAGTGCCCTTGACATACAAGGGTATGTCTCAGCCTATGAACTACAAATACAAATCATAGCATAAAGTGACTATATAAAACAATTACCTCACTTTCAAATCTTCTTTAACCCCTTTGAGCTCTTCCGCTTTCTCTTTCAGCTCCTTCACTGACTGTTGAAATTGAGGATTCCTGCAAGCAGGGCAATGATGGTGAGCCAGATGTCCCAGAAATTTCTTACGAGAACTCGATAAAAGTAAATGTTAACAATTGCGGTTTGAATAACAGCTTCTCTCAGTAAAAGACCCGAAACTAAGCCGAAGGACTGCATTACCTTCCACTTTCAAATATCTGGCTCTTACTGGTTTTTAAGTTCAAGAAACAAACTTCAAATACAAAGTTCAATTTTTTGTTGGTTATAAACAGAGGAATAACAATTTGTTGGAAGTAAAACAAATTTGAGCCAACACTAAACAAGAAAAACCAATTAAAACAGCAGATATTACACGGGCAAATTAGAGAGAGAGAGAGGTACTTAGTAGCTTCGCCTTTGAATTGCTTCGAAAACTCATTGAAAACACTGAATCGACGATTCCCCAAATACCCATTTGCCGAAATCAATCGAACTCTCGCGCTCGAAACCTATCAAATCCCCAACCCACAAAAAAAATCATCAAAATCAACCCAAAAAGCACCGAAAGTTTCAGTCTTTGATTCATAACTTCTTCCATTAGAATTTGGAACGAACCTGCTGTTGGGAGGTCAGATGAAGAAAGAGGGGTCGTCTGTAGAGGTGCAAATCTCGCACTAGCTTTCTGCCCGCCATTAAATTGCAGGCGAGTTAACAATTTTCGAGCAGAGAAAAACAAACAAAAACCCAATGGCGTTTTGATTTTGACTTTTTTTTTTGGGTTTTTTGCAATGTGGGTGTCTGAATTAGTAGAGACGGTGCCCCTGCGTGGGAAGGAAGATAGGGACGAACAAAGAAGGAGATAACGTGGATGTTACACTTCCCAAACCAAACACGGCCTAGGGTTTCTGTTTCCCGGCGGATTTGGGAGATGAATGAGCCCAATAGTAAAATATAGGCCCAATACTGTTGGGGCGGCCCACTACTTTCTTTTTTGTTGTAGAAATGGTATCTCAACTTTAACCTAATTAAAGTAATGGTCTCTCAACTAAAAATCTATGACTATTGGTCCCTTAACTCATCAAAACATGCAATTATAGTCATTTTCGTAGCTCCATCAGAATTCTGTAAAAATAGTCGTGTTGGAAGGATCATTACTACAATTTTTCTCATTTGGTTTTCCATATTTGTCTCTTGATTTAACCTCACGTACGTGACACGTGACTCGTTTGACTGAAGTTCTAATGGAGTTGAGAAAAAGGACAATAGCTGCACGTTTTGATGAGTTAAAAGATCACTGGTCATGGATTTTTAGTTAAACGATCATTGCTTCAATTGGATTAAAGTTGAATGACTATTTCTACAATTTTCTCAATAATGATTTGTAGCACTCCGAAGATTTAACTGTGCACTACAAATTTTTGATATTTAAAAAGAAAAACAACCTTACGAGGAGTCACAATCAAAATTTTGGATTTTCATTAAGAAATAATACTTGGATGCTTGTTAGTCAGCTCTCACATTTTGATTTGACACATCGTAATGGTGGAGAGCAAACGTTTGGGAAAGTTTTGAGGGCAATGAGGAAGAGTGAAAAGAGAGTTGTGGTCTGGTTGTGCAGCGTAAGACGGAAGAAAATACATTCTTTCAAACCCACCATTAAGAATGAAGTATTCTACTAGTATTAAGGACCTAAGGTCCATACAAACAAAAATCATAACATAACCAAGTTGGTTAGAGCAGCATGCTCTAACTCTACACTTGAATTCAAATTTTCATCACCTTAATTTAGACTAAAATAGAACATCGCTCAAATAACAAAGAGGATGACAAGGGTTGCTTGCTAATGCTAATGACATGCCTCATTGGCATTAGAGAAGTGCTGGGCTTGAAGGGCAGCTGCCTTCTTAGACACCAAAGCTTGGATCAACAAAGTCTTGACCTCCCAAGCTGTGTAAGGATACCCTTTTCTTGCATAAGAGTTCAGCAGTGCAGCACTCGCCTGCTTCAGCAGCCTAGGGTACACGTTCTCCTCGTCATTCATCGCCGTCGCTTCAAGCAACGTCAGATCGGATCTGTACCGTTCGTACGCTCTTGATCCAAACACCTTGGACACCGTCGATGTCTGTGGGACCATCTTCGGCCACGCCTCCATCCTGCTCCCCCAGTACCTGTGCAAACAACAGATTATAACTCAGAAACGTCACCACCACTCAACAGAGGGATAAATTGAACTAATAGGCCAGTAATTTTTTTGAATTTTCACTTTTGTTCTCATAGTTTTTTTTACTTACATTTTCATCCATTGGGTTGTTACTGTCCGTCCAATCCGTTGGACTCGGCATGGTTCCTTTCAAGTTGGAATTTTTTAAACAAAAAAATTGCATCATACATCTTGAGTTATAATCAAACTGTTGCTTTGGTCGCTAAATTGAGAACTTTAAAAAATTAAGAATTATTATTGGCACTCTAAAAATTTCATTCTACGTTCCAAACTTTTTATATTAGAAAAAAAAATACACTTCCGATGAGTGTAAAATGAAAATTTTGAAATGCTAATAACATTTTTCTAAAAAATTAGTATCTAAATTTGACAAAATCTGAAACATTTTTCCTTCACGCCAACTCTTTAAAAATTTGCTTCAAAACTAAGCACGTGAAATCTTTTGATAAAGTAAATCTAAACCAAACAGATGTATCGTTCATACACGTGCTTAGTTTTTGTCAAATTCCAGCAATAATTTTAATTAATTTCTAATTTAGAGACCAAGGCTACTATTCTCCCATTTACTATTTTTCAAATAACAAGGATTGGACTAAACCGAAAACAAAATGAAACTGCAAAGACACATATGTATTAAAAAAAATCTACAAAACAGTGAAAATCTAGTTAACTACGGAGAGTAATTGCAATCTAATCCCCAACACATCGATCCCAACTGAAGAAGAGAAAAGAGAGATAGGAATCCAGAGGGGTTTGCTTACTGAGGAGTGCATCTTCCTGTTGTTCTTGTGAAGAGAAATCCTGGCCGTTGGTTTCTGGCTGTTGTTGCGGGTACAGAGCAGGCAACAAGTAGCAGAAGAAGAAGAAAGAGTTGACTCAGTTGAACTAAGATTTGCTTCATTTTTGGTGGTGGGGTTTCTGTCTATCTTCTGTTTGGGATCTGAGTTTATATATGGAGCTTGACTTGGTTTCAAACTTGGTCTGTCTTTACCAACACTGGCAGACTGGTACTTGTTTTTCAAATACAACTGGTTCGGTTCTCAATACATGTTGATGTGCTCATGGTTTTATGTTTTATAGGGAAATTTTTTATTATGACTGAAACACGGATAATACATTATTTATTTTTATATAAGCGATGGAAAATTTTATTTTTAATTTATTAACTTTTTACCATATATATTATATCATTTGCATAATGACACGTGATGTACCATCACGTATTCCGGACACACTGAAAAATCTCTCTGTTTCATGGAGATTTGGTTCAAATGTGAGGGGTGATATTGTCTTTTGGTGCACGTGCTGAAGAGCTTTGGACTTGAGAGTGTTGGAACCTTTCCCTTTTTTTTGTTCAAATGACAGTGTTGGAACTTTGGTTGTGCTTTTCATTGAAAACACTACAACACAAGGGGAACTATGCGTTGCTTACAACAAAAGGGGAACTATGGGTATCGCCTTGGGATTGAATTTTTTTGTTATTGTTGAATCTGATTCCTTGGAATCAATCTCTTACCTTAGGGGTAAGATAACAAATGGCAGTTGGGAGGTTTTTCCTAATCTGACGAAGAGCAGGAAACTTAAAAAAAAATTTCAAAACTGTCACTGGTCTTGGATACCAAGATCAGCCAATGTGGCGGCAAACCACTTGGCGTCGCGAAGATGTTTGGAGATGTATGACATTACTTGGGTCGATAGACCCCATCTTCACTTGTTCACGTCCTAAACAATGATGGGTTACCTTACCCTCCTTAAATTTGTAGTGACGGTGTAAGAGATGACGTTTTTAGCTATGCTTGCAGCGTCTAGTTTCCTTTCACCCGCTTGCACTAGCCGGTTTGTTATTGTGTTGCTTGTCTTGTCGTAGGCTTCATTATGTGCTTTTGACACTTTTGTCTTGGTTATGAGAATTTCCAATTCATCAAAAAAAAAAAAAAAAAAAAAAAAAAAAAACAGGTTGGGGGCAGGTCTTGTTATTTTAGAACGAAAATTCGGCCCACGGTTCTTCTTTAGGAAAAAGAAGCAGCTAATCTCAGACCAGTGCACAAATTATGATGAATTGAAAGTTGTTAATTTGCAATGATCGAGCGAAAGCCATGTTTAGAAAAAAGAAGGAAAATTTCATTAGACAGGATTATCACATACATAAGATTACACGTAGTACTTATTTATTTAGTAGCTACGCACTCTCTCCTCTTTAGATTATAGGGAAAAGGATCTGGCGCCGGATCATTTTTCTAGGATCATAAGGATTCTGTGATTGTAAATATTCATCGTACATTATGCAATCAGTTTTCGTTATGTACTATTTATATTTAATTTTAAATTTTAAATTTTTCAATGATTTCTAACCGTACGATATATGATGAATGACGCGCAGTATGAAAGTCCGGCCAGCTAGAGTGCGATCATGGCGTTGTCGTTGGTCTTGAAGGCGATGTCCTCGAATCCCTCGTTGTCAGCCTGCGTGATCACTCCGTGGTTCTGAGGCACGACGAACAACTGTCCCTCCTGCACTTGGTCGTCCAAGATCGGGTTGCCGTTCTCGTTCACAACCTGAACCCTAGCGCTTCCTCTGATCACGTACACCACTGAGGGGGCGTTTATTCCCCTCGTGAGTTTTCAGGTATTTTACTTATTCCAATATCCATTCTATATGTCACGTAAATAAACATACCACAATATCTAATCCATCTTTTATCCCTTTTTATGATAAATAATAATCAACATATTGATGCACATAGTTGCAGTATCACTAATAATATCTTTTTAATTAGTAAAAAAAAAAAAACTAGTGTACGTAGTACTGGAATTTTGTCAAGTTGCAAATCCTAATGCAGCAAGTTATATTACATGAATTAATTAGTTATTAATGTTATACTCTAGCTAGTCTCTAGATCACAAATTTATAATTTACACATATTATAACATCTAAATTAACCATACTACGTCAAGATGTTCCATAAAATATGTTTTTGTAAAGGTTGGAGTAATCTTCATCATTTAAGTTCAGGTGCTAGGTGGAGAGGAAAACAAAGAAAAGCCCTAAAGTCGTTGCCCAGCCTTTAATCTTGGAGTCGGCAGCAATCATTCTTGATCTTTTTCTTTCTCATCTCTGGGAGTGTTCACTCTCTCCGCTCTGTCGAGGAAAGCCTTCTTGCTCCTAGCTAGTTGCTCTCCCCTTCGGTCGATGAGAGCTTTTTGTAGCGGTTATGACTTGCTCAATCTCGAATCTAGGAGTAGGACCATTAATAGTTGTTCATATTTGAGTGGTTTTGTGGTTTAAGCTTTTGGGAAATGATGTGAAGAGGAAGCTCAACGTTTATTGGAGGTGACTCATAATAGAATCTTTTTGCCAACAATGTACAAAATCATTAAAGGGTGGTGTAGTCTTTTCTATGGTGCGCATTGCAGTGCCGTGAAGGGTTCAATACTGCTAGGTTGTGTTGTGTGTGTTTTTTTGTTTGTGGTTTTGGCCTTGCGAGTGTTATCTTTCCATATGGTTAGATGTGATTATGTGGTTGAAGTTTTGTACTCTTTTTTTTTATCCATTTATAATTGTGGAATTGCACTCCATCATGATGATGTTATTCGTTTTATTTGATTAGTGGAATGTTTTTATTTCAAAAATTTCAAGAGCTAAATAAATTTGAGGATCATTATTCTCCAAAATATGGTGATGTTTTGTGAATGTGACCATTAAATATGGTAGTCAGGTAGAGTCTTTGCTCTTTTGCAAACTAGTCTCTTGTATTCCTCTGCACTGTTATGTTATGTTTTCTACAGAAATTAAAGTACGTACCAAACCACTGATTAACTGTTAACCATTTTTTACTTTTCATGACCTAGTTTTGAGACCAGTTATAAGGAAGAAATAGCACGAATTAAGCTTTCAAAATAAGCAGAACTATCTACAAGGCACCAGCATGATCATGCTATATATTTATCAATATTATACTCTAGGTTTGAAACATCATTCATGTTGTCCAATTACATTATAATACGTGAATTAGTAACATCAAATGACTGTTTTGACTATCGCACTAAAAAGTTTCTCTGATTTAAAAGTTGAAATTGAATTTATGAGAAGGTCGTATTTGATGTTTAACGTAATAGTACCTCAGCATCTGGTGTGAAATCACCATCTTCCTCTCTTTTGAGGCCACCATACTAAGCTGGGAGTTCTTCTGGTTCTACAAATCTTTTTGGTAAATTTCCAAGCAAATTTGTGAGATAAAGGAACATAAATTAAGCATTCAAACATTAATTAATAAAATTATGATATTATATAGGTTATATATAGATCTTACTTGAGAAGGGTTTTTGTAACATCTGAAGGCCTGGCAAACACAAACTTCATTTTGGTTCTTTGACTTAGGAGCCTTGATCTGAGCACACGCAGTAAATAATACCAAAGAGGAGCATTTATCACAATCTGCAAATTAATCAACAAATCTTATTTCAAAGCTTGCGCATATATTTCAGTGTGACCATCGCATCGTAATATATTATTAATCAGTATAACCTCAAATTTGAGAGCACTACTTAAATTCTTTTGAATGAGCTCTAGATAGTTTTCTTGGAGCAAAACTAGGGTTTTGTTGCTACGAGAACGAAGCTCATTCATGTCCGGCCCGGCGAGTTCTTCAAATCTGTAACGCGAACCATAGAATCCACTCCTCCATCATTGAAGTTACGTTTTTGAATTCCCTTTTCCATGAACTAAACCCTCCCCCTCAAAAACTCTTCTCCGCAGAACCAAAAGTCCTACCGTACAATTCCCTATCTCTAAATGGCCCATAAAATGTGGAACACAAAGGGTGCCCTTCCTTGTCTAAAACACACGATCGAGTTTTTCCATTTATGTACCACTTTCTATTTAAGCTTACCCCAATTTCAGTCTACCCTCAATTAAAATTTTATATGTTAACTTTTCATAAGAACACCACCATTTCAGTACAATCATCATCTCGACAATCAGATAGTAGAGGAGGAGGAGGAGGCGGTGGTGGAAAAGGCTAAAATATCCTTAATGCGGTTAAGGGAGTCATCGTCGATGAGAGTCTGGTTGTTGGGTCCGCCGTGGGCTTGGTGGAGCTTCGACGGCGAGCCGCCTAGTGATTGTCTTTGCATGGTCACAGACTCACAGACAGGGAGAAAGACAGAGAGAGAAGAAAAAGCGAAAGATAAAAAAACCGTTCAACAATCAAATAATAAATGACATTAAAATATTAATAAAAAAAATTTAATAATTAGTAAAAAAAAATTGAAGTTGCTGTCAAATTTGACAGCAAACCCCTTTGCTGCCAATCCATGTCATGCCACATGGGATTTGGTATTTCGGTTGGAAACAATTAGTGGCTATATTTTTTTACTTTTATAACTTATGTGGACATTTGGAAATGCTCTTACACACTTTTTAGTGCTTTAAAAATACGCTTCAACGATTTTCCTAAAGACACTTTCAAATGGTATTTTAATAAAATATTTTGTAGCCACTTAGTATTACGGTATAATAGTATTCCTCCACTTATAAGTAAGTGACCTTAGGTTCGATTTTCGTCAAAAACGAATTTGAACCACATTATTACTAATTTATTGTAAGGCTAAGCATACCCTCTTCCCCTTAGTGTAAATATCATTTATTAAAATAAAATAGAAATAAATAAATTAATTAATTGAAAAAAAAAAACAAACAAAATGTTTTGTGTGATTATGACAAAACTTTCAACAAAAGCCCCTATGAGGAGACTTAATTTCTACATAAATATCCCCAAGCAACCCCTAGTACAGTCAATCTCATTAGGCATAAGCATGCCTAATGGTGCTTTGGGCCTCATGACGACCACACGTTGGGACATTCATTTGGTCTCATATACTCTCCTCTTTCTTTCTGGCCATACAGCGGAACATATTAAAAGACAATCAATGGACGTACTTAAGAGGAGAGTGCAAGAGGTAAAATGAAAATTGCAGAACCTCTCCCCAAAAGAAAAACATAAAAGAACAGTAGATAATGTAAGGATTATTGCTTTGCGGAAAAATAAAACATT